TGATTCCATAGATGTGAACCTAAATGTGCTGACAGTTTTTCTTTATTTTGAACTTTCACTATGATGATCCTCCGGGACCTGTTATTTACCCACATAAAACCACTGTTCCATTGTTTCACATGTGCTTCAAACTGTTCCCTAGGGGACGAATGGCCTCAGCATGGGGAAATCACATGTGTTGAATGCAGTAAGTCTTGGTGATGGGAACTCACATCCGACGATAAGCCCTGGTTTGTAGTCAAAGCCTCTCGCACCTGTCCTCGTACGGTAATCCCCGCAACATAGGGACACTTCCAGTAGCGACGTGTTGGACTCCTTCAAGCTTCTCCACTTTGACACGAGTGGTCGGGCAATAAACGGGCGAGCCGTACTCTAGGATTGGTCTGATGATGGGGGAGAAGAGGCGAGTGGAAACGTCGTCAGACGAGGTGCAGAAACTGTGCTTGAGCGCCCATAACATGCGTAGTCCCCTTCAGTGTGGCCTGTTTGAGTTGTCCACCGACTTCAAAGTACAACGTTAGGGTACACCTAGATCGTTCACAGATGTTGTAGGCTATACCAGTTGGCTGACGAGAGTGTAGCTTCGGCCGTCATCACCCTTCGCTAAACGCATGAATACCGACTGGAATGGGTTGACCGTGAGGCGGATTTCTGTAAAGCAAATAGAATGACGGTTGATGTCTTGCTGAAGTAGTCCGCAGTCGTCAGAGTCACCTATCACTCTCCACATCTTCGGTGCATCTGCAAGCAAGGCACACAGTGACCGAACAAGTTGATGGAGATTGTTGATATAAATCAGGAGCAATGTAGACCCCAACAGTGTGAATTAGGGTACACCTCCGGTCGAACTACAACAGTCAGGCAGATGGCTATCGACTTGTACCCTCAACTTTCGTCCAACGAGCAAGTCCTGAATCCACTGGTGCAGAGACCCACAAACACCGCACACTCTCCGCTTGAGGAGGAAGACCTCATAGTTCACCTTGTCAAAGACTTTGCTGAAATCTATGTAGATCACCTCGACGTACTTTCCCTGGTTCACTGCTTGCAACTAGTCATTTCTCCTCACGAGCAGGTTGGTAATGCATAAACGACCTGTCATGAGACTGCGCTGTGCAATCGTCAGTAGATCTTTTGACCTGCACAGATGTAGAACACTCTTCTTCACGATTTCCTCGGTAGCATTGACAAAAATAGCCTGTATCTGACTACTTTGCTGGGGTCACCGCCTTTCGAAATCGGCCTTATCCCCGAGCCTTTTCAATTAATTGGCAATAAACCTTTGGACAGTAACTTGTGAAATACATCAGTTACCACAGTTCAGATGGTGGTCGCTTAGGTCTTGAAAGTCAGGGGGTGGAGCCCATCAGGCCCAGAAAGCTTGATGCCTTCAAGTTTGGCGAGTACTTGACGTACCTCTTCTACACTAAAATCCAGGCTATAAAGTTCGGTGAGTGTAGTGCACGCCAAATTCAGTACAGACACCTGGTCGTTTAAAAACACGGAAGCGAATTGTGCCGCGAAGACACACGCATCCTCGGTGCTGGTGTTAGAGGCTGTCCATCAGAGCCCTTATCACTGGTATGTCACCTGCAGGCTTGAGGCGCCGCTTCATGCAGCCAAAGATTTCTATCGGAGTGGTGTTTGCTGTTTTTGCAAGCTGGTCTTCGAAATGACGTCGCTTGCTCGTTTTCACACTGTGCAACTAGTTCGCTGCTTTTTACACACTTCGAAGTCGTCGACCGAGCCCGAATAAGGAGTTTGTCTCACAGTCTACGCTGGAGCCGAACCAGTTTACAATGTTCCTTGTCGAACCAATGTCCCTTGACCGGTCTGATTTTCCGACACTTAAGAAGCCCCAACTTGTTGCACATCTAGTGTACGCCATATTTTATAACTAACCAAAAATCTGCAACAGCTTCAGATTGAGGCAGAGACCAATCCACATGGCTCAGGTCTCGAGTCAGACCGTCGAAATCCGTTTTCCAATACTTGTGATCTGGCTTCAGCGTGTGCGATGCCTACAGCGGCAGCTGCATCTTGACAATAAGTACTGACTGGTTGCTTGTTGCCAGGGGCTCCAGGATTCGAATGTCATGCACATGCCGTTCACAAATGGTTATCAGGTCTAAGCACGATGGAGTGGAGCGCGGTGTTATCCGCATCAGTTGGTGTATTTGTTATTCTGCCCCAGTTTTAAATGCCATCTCAGTGAACTTTTGCTTCGATCTCAGAATATCCGGTGATAAGTTGAACTTCAGGCCAGCATTTTCGAAGATAAACGAAATTGCCTGTAAGCAGATAATGACGGTGACTCATGTGATCCTGGAGCTTCGGCAGCCAATCTAAACAACTGCTCAGGTGACTGCGACAAACTGCTTGTTGTAGTAACTCTCCGCGCCTAAAGTGAATGAGGCACCACTACTGCTCACACGTACCCTCTTCGCTTCCGTAGGCACTCACAAGACTCCCAAACAGGGAAGACCGTATGTAGAGCAAGACGCCACCGTGGGCGTTTGCTAGCCTATCTCAACGAACACACAAGTAGCCATAAGCTCAACTTCTTTGGTGAGTACCTCGTCGTTTAACCACGTCTCCGGGAGTCCCATTACATCCGGTTGCTCGAAAACAGCGAAGCGATATAGCTCATCGCGCTTTCTCTTGAGACTGCAGGCTTTGGTAAAGACTATACGCCATCCGCGGTAAGAGCTACAGGGAGTGAATGAATATTGAGCGACCCATTTGTCCAATTTCGCGTTCGCCTTATAACCATTTGAAAATTTAAATTCCTTAGTTATTTTCTCCCTCACTGGTTCTTTGCTTTAGCTGGATGACGGCACGGTTGAGGCGCTCCCGTTCAGTTGGATCTCTATTCGGACGAATATGCACTGTCTCGACTCTCAGCCTACACATGTGGGTTAGTATTAGCTTCGGGCTGTGACCTGGTCGGCAAAAACTGCTCGCATAGGTCGGTACTTCTCAGCAGTGCTTTTTCCGAAGCGGATGGCTTATCTCACTTTTGCTTCTTCCTCACAGCGCTGAGCAGCCTATTAACCAAGCTCGGCAAAATACGCTACGTCATGATCATACCGTACATGAAGGCTTGGATTGTTGGACTCATGGGCATAAATAGCATCAGATTTGATCGCCTCTAATCACTTGAAGTGGTTCCTGTGAGACGATGGAGGCCGCGAGCTGTGCCTAACCTGACCTGTTGTTCGTCAGTAGCGGGAAGCTTCCCTTTGTTTCGTAGCTTCTTCTGTCGTTCGGCTCCTCACTCACTGGAAATGCATGTGGGTATTTAGAGCTAGCCAAACACAAAGTCGTTGAATCATTAACCCCAGTTGGTGTTGTGCCTCCGGAAAAATCAAGATGGTGATGTGATAACTTGTCAGAGGAAGCAGAATGGGAGAAAACCTGGGTTGACTCTTGGATGGAATCTAGACCAGGTTGCGGGACCATATGTCTAGAAGTGTTCACAGTTAAACGCTTTTGGTCGCAGTCTTCATTGACAATTGTTACGCGTTTCCCTAGCTGCCTTAGACTGTGACAATTGTAACATAAAATGTGAATGAAATCAAGTCGAATGAAACGCAGATGACGACAGGAATCGGTAGGTAATGTGAAATCATCTCAAGACATGTGAGGGCATTTGCCAGGTATTCCACAGTTTTCGAACAGGCACCACAATACGCTTTATCCTGAACTTTAGGTAAGGTCGTAAAATTAGTGTAAAACAGTAGAGTAAAAGTTACAAAATATAGCTTTGAAATCTATGGAATGATAACACACAAAATATGAGCTAAAATTTACCGGTCCAGAAATGGAACTGAGGGCTGTCGAAATTTCCAAAAAATAATTCCAATATGCTAATAAATCCGCAAGGGAGTATCCTAGCAATGCAGCCCAAGAATAAGCAGCCCCAAGCTGTTGGCCCATAGCATATTATTTAATCGTGCATTTAGTTAAAAGCAGAAAATTGAGTCTTCGTGTGATTATGCATGCTAATGGAACACTAATTGAAGTAAATACGTTTCCGTCCTCAGATTTCTCTTAAGTGCTTATTGCGTGAACAGATTGCCGCACGCAACCTCCATCTGGACCGTGATAATTCGAAGTGAATCTCAGGAAATTCCACATCGTCTGAGCGTATACGAAGGGATAAAGGCTAGCCGTTGGCCACTTTTAAAGTCACAGTCTTTCCGTGATTTTGTGATGGCGTATACATTTTACGTAGAAGTAGTCGAGCAAACCAGTAGTGAGTCATTAATACTTGTGAGAAATGGAGTTGGCGAAACTCCGTAATATACTCTGGCAATTTTGTAAGCCCTAAATTATCAGTTCAGTCCCGTCTGCTGGAACTATTAAGCAAACAGTAGGCCTGCAGGCCACTAATGTGTTGAACTCGGCTACTTTCATCCTATCGCATATAAAAGCACAATTATAAATCTTGTTTATCCAAATCTGACTCGTGAAGGCTAGAATCATAGCAAGAGACTCTGCATTTCATGATTTTCTTATGGTTCTGAGGACATTCAGTTGCTCTACGGCAAGGGTTCTATTAGTATGGACCAGCGGTGATTAAGTGATAGACACCACTGAACAACCTATCGACGGCACTTGATGAAAGATGTATGTGGTGTTCGTAGGTTTATACGCATCTGATTGACGCTGTCGAATCTTTAAAACCATTTAGTCCGTAGGCACCGACGAAAAGAGTTGTACTGCCCAAATGCGCACATCTATCAGTGTCCTTTCATGAAGGCTGATTGAGCATTAAGTGTGAATGGCTGTTAAATAACTCTACCTCCTTTAAGTTGCATGACACGCCTAGTCATAAATTGTGAATATACAATGGAACTAGTGTTATCTTTCTAATTGCAACAGACTGTAGTGCGCTCTGCATACAAAAAACAACATAAGCCACTTCTGATTACTTCTCAAATTGATATGTACGAAATAGACCTAATCATATTGGTTATAAGTAGGCATTTACTCACTTTGATCAGCTCGATATTTCCAGAATGAACAGCCATGTGAAGGGGTGAGAAGCCCTCCTCATCCATCATGTGTACCAGTTGGTGCATATCGCTATCGGATACAGTGGAGGGCACGCTTGGCTGTCGGGATGACCTCCTTCTCTCAAGCCTTGCGGAACCTGTTTTTTCAGTCAGAAAACTGAGCAAACTGGTTTTCTTCTTTCTAGGTGTACTTGCATCCTGTTGCACTGATGCAGTAGAAGGATTCAGAAGTGCCCCTTGACACATTTTCAGCTGTTCGTATTCAAATAGTGCATTTGCGCATTTTAGAGCGACTTGGAAAATGGCAATGTGGATGGAGGCACTTCCAAATACGTTTCTTTGATAAATGTTGGCTCCGTGTTCCAGCTGGGACAAAGAAAAAACGTTTTTGGTGTATCAACTTTATCTGCCAACATGGAACATCGAACTGCCGATCAGTTCAAAAGTAGGTTTAGATGCACTCCAGAGTAAATTTACAGCAAGCAAAGGACACCTTCTTAGCCTAATGCTATGAAAGACTTGTTGAGATACCCACTCTGAAAGTAAGTTTATCATCACAACACAAACAAAAATATGACTAAAAGCTGTTACTTTTAGGGAACTTTACATGCACTGGTGGCATTTCATTCAAAGCCTAAGTTTGAGAATGCTTTACAATTTCGCATTCCTTCAAATGGAAGGTGAGGTACATCAAGCTACCTTGTTGAAACTCGGCTCTAGTTCTTCTGGTTATTTCTTACTCATAGAGGTCAGGCTATGATTCAGTTCTGTACGGCGATTACCAATGTTGGTTGCAGGTCGCCAGAGATAATATGATCCGCCTAAATTGTGTTTACGGTTATGACTGACATGACGAACCATGTTTCTATGTGTACCCAGATCAATCATCAGCCAGCTTCAAGCTCATTCCCAGATACATCATAGACAGATAGACACAATTCGTTTCCGTGAACACAACAGTTTTAAATCTCCTTGTACTAACACTGGAAAGCTGCATGTGATTAGAACTGATAGAGAGAACGGAAGCAGCTCGGTATGTGAATGAGAACTGACCACAAGCACACGATCAGAGTGACAAGCTAGAAATTGATTGGACAATTTGTTGGCTGATAAGGAGGGTTGGTTTTGTTCAGACAACAGCAACCGCGAAGTACAATCAATAACGAACTAACATTAGTAGACAACCCGAGTGCAGTGGCAGCTGGTCGACTGGTCGAGTCGAAGGACAGTTCGGTGGACAGGAAGCGTTCCAAGGGCAGTCCACTCTAGTTGGCCACAACATCACCAGCCTGAGAGGCAGTACGAAACCGACGCAGATTAGCTTGCCGAACAACCACCCTATGATGCTAGCTGGTTGGTTCGGGGTTATCCCTTTCCAGTGAACAGTTAAACAGCAGTTTTTCAGGACTTGGTGGGTTCCTGCTTGGTAGGCATTCTCCCCAGAAAAGCCACAAATGTCTGTTTGACAACAATGTGACGTGGTGTGTGACTCGACACTAAGGAAATTCACTGCCCCTTGCTTCACTCCAATAAAGAATTTTATTCCAGCAGTCTCTTGATGAAATCACAAGAAGAATTTGTCCTCTGTTTGGCAACCGACCAAACAAAAGGCGTATAAACCGAGCAACCAGTCACCAGGCTCCCAATAGACGCGTGATTCCCTTAGTTAACTCTGCTGTATTGCGGGTAGTCTGTACAGCCAAAGTTTCGGAGTGGTGTCCCCTAAGACAACCCCTACTACGGCTTGCAAAACCGAGTAGTATATCACCCTTTGACAAGGAACAATGTGTCACGGGTAAACAATCAAGAACCATGGATTCCGCAGATACCGCCGCGTTGCTCTCGTCTGCTCCTACCTTCCTTTCTCCTCACACATCTACCGCGTGCTAAACTTGCTTTCGCTGTTAAGTATCGTTCCTTTGAATCTACTTCCGGTGACAGTCTCGCTGTGACCCATAGAGTGCGACCAGTGATGGTCCTTCGACCCGAGATTCATCTCTGCTGGCAGCCTTCATTGTTTGAATCCTTGTGCAGATCGGGCAGTAGTCTGGCCTAGTGCGCACCCTAGATTCCCTCGCAGTCAATTCTTGTTGCCCTTCCGATGCTCGATTATAGGACTCCTGCACCATGGTTAAGTTTACGTCCTCCACTGATCTCGAAACCAAATGTTACGTGCGTTTCTCTGTGGACAACGAAACAGATACAGCTGGCTTGGCTAGTGTTGGCATGGTATTGAGAGAAAAAGCTGACACCTCGCAGCTTGAATGGTTCCTGATTAACAGTCGACTGTGAGCGCTTCGGTTTCAAGGTTCATACAGAATCAACGGATATCGTAGAGAGAGATGCAAATGGTTTGTGATCTCTGTATACCATCCAACTGACTGCAGCTTCACAAAGGTTAAGAAAACCTTTTTGGCGCACTGCGCAAGCTATGAACCTAGGTCGAAAAGTCAGATATCGCCGTTCTTGTCAGGAACTACAATGCACGCTTCGGCCGTCTGTTGCCGTGCGAAAGTCATCTTGGTGACCAGCATGCCCACGAAGAAAATCACTCTGACAATGGAGGCACATTTCCCACGTTAGGTGAAAATAACCGGCTCTTTCTCTCGGGTGCCAACTACAGGTTATCCAGGAGACGCTCCGCCACCTGACGTCCACCGTCGCCAACGTAAGCGTGGTCACCTAATGGTCACATTGCCATCAGCTTCAGATGGCGTGGCAAAGTACGGGATTGCAGATAGAATTTGTCCACCCACCTCTACTGAGATCGGACTTTGATCTGTGCGGATATACGAAAATGTTTTGAGGGTTCCTCGAAATTGATGTACGGTGGATTTCAACAGGCTATCTAACCCCCCCCCCCCATTTCAGCTGGCCTAGCAATCCTCTTTATTATATGCGGTCGCAATGCTCCACCTCAAGACGGTGAAAATCACTGGAGTTTCTTGCGAAGAGCGTTGATATCTTCTGGTCAGTCATTCCGTTGAATCACTGGACGTCCTCTAAAATGATGGAAATGTTTGACTGTCGCAGAGCCATCTCAGATGATTCAAGCGGCGGTGAAGTCCGCCGTATCCAAAATCACAACCAAAGTCTGCGTAACGAAAGTGAAACCTGGTGCTCTCAGTGCTTTTCAGAGGTGCAGACAGCAGTACTCTGGAATGCTTAGTAAGCTTTTCAAGATCATTTGGGCGACTGGTTACAGAAGACCGGGCGTCAGGCATGCTATTTGCAAGATTGATGAATCACCCATCACCAATTTGCTTAGATGCATGGGTCAATAAGCTTCACATGTGCACTCTCAATGCGGTTGTCAAAAATGCAGGCCTAATTACACGCCTTGGAATGTTTCACTAGAACCAACCACCGGAGTGGAGGTTTGCCTTACTCTTTGTCACCTGAAGCGATTCAAGACTGCTGGCTCAGATGGACTTCATCCAGAGCTGTCAAAGTACGATGGAATGGCAGTTGTCAATCAGCTACCAGCTCGCTTCTCCTAGATTCGGTTTTAAGAAAATGTTCCATCTTCTTAGGGCTGGTCCATTATCATCCCGACCTTTAAGGGAGATATCTGTTGCTTATACGAAAACCACGGAGGAATCAGTTCACTATCAATTGTCTCCAAGTTGTTAACATCTATTCTAGTCGGCAGACTAACCTTGATTCGGGAACTATACGCTAGTGAAATATGTTTGCTTTCCGCTCTGTTTCGCCAACTTTTCAACTAACGTTACTTGTGCTGACAGCATATCGTTGTTACCTTTTTGGACATCCAGCCTGTGTTTGTCTCGGTCGACCGGCTTGCTTTGTGGGCTTATTTGCAAAAGAATTGGTATATGAAAAGTATACTGCCATCCTTCGAGCATTATGCAAAAATGTCTCAGGCAGAGTGAGGGCCTACAATAAACTTTCCTCATCTTGCAGTGTACGACAGCGATGATTCATGTCACCTTTGTCGTCAAGTTTGCGAACGAGGATGGCCTTTTGAGCGCTCTGTAAGTTCTCCAGAGTTACCGTGTGGAGTTTCTTGCAGGCAACGGCGCAACTGACGGCTTTGTTAGGTGACGAATCGTAGAGTAAGCTGGTCATGTTAAACCTTATGGCGACTGAAGCTTAAAAGTATGGTATGACGTTATCGTCTACGAAATGCCACATCCTATTCTAGGATCGCCATCCACCTGCCCCAGTGCTGACTCGTGAGGGCACTCGGCCGGTAGCCGAGTGGTCCCCTCGCCTGGCTTGCGATCATAAGGTGCCCGGTTCGAATTTGTGTACGGACGGGAGTCCTTGGGGTATACTCAGCCCACGAGCGATTGGTGGTGGTCACGCGGCAGCGAAGCACCGTAGCGGAGTAGAGCTGACGAGTTACTTTCCATCATAACAACACTAGACCTTAATGAGGTGTGATGGTTTGCGTACCTCCTCAACCCATCGAGCTATGCTGGGTAGGGCCGTTCCGTATCATAAGAGCTACTCCTACCAGATCGGATAATGGTTAGAGGTCAGATGAACTCAGTCTCCTAGTCCTTCAAGTCAGGGGTTTGAAATGACATGGCATACATTTCTGTAAAACCAAATTGTTGCCACATCCACTGCCTTGCGGACAGACTATTAAGCCAAAGACTTTGGTCAGGAATCCTAATCCTCCTCCTGTCTAGATCTGAATGCCCTGGCAGTATCTCAGCACTCGTACAACCATGACTACTTCTTCGAATTTCAACCACTTCCTGCGTCGGCCGTCGCGCAACTTATCAAGTGTTACCTTATGTGCTGCATACAGCAAGACAGATAAAGGAAAACATGCTACTGCCGGGACCTTCCTTCTTTCCTTTCCACCTGTTTCTCTTTCTCCCATCCCAGTCCCCATTACTAGCCTTTCTCCTATACTTCCCAGTTCTGCTGGTAGCAGCCGCAATGTCATTGGATTCAGACCACCTGCAGCTATGTTCCCACGCCACTCACTGGACACTAATCACCAAGAGTTTCTTAGTAGACCATACTGCCCCGTTTCCCTGGCGCCGTTCAACGTTCGCACTGACAAATACGTCAAGAGGTTGTAATCGCACGCATGTTAGACACGCTAGGTCTTGACGTGTGTTGTGTGTTCGAACCAGGGAACAATGACGCTCCCGGTGTTGTTGAATTAACTTCACCCGGTTAGTCCACTCGCTATTGGTTACACGCAATCAGAGACGCTGACGCAGAAACCACTGGTCAAGCTAAAGTGGGCATTGTTCTCAGCTCCAAGACTAACTCATCCTTGTTTGATTGGATGCCCGTGAACAGCCATTTATGTGCAGTCCACTTGAGGAGATCAACCTAAGTTGATTCACGGAGTTGCACTAGACTCTGTTTGTTTGTAGTTT